AAATCTGAGCATAAAAACAAATTTTTGAACTGAGCATCTTAAAAGTGAGATTACTAATGCAGATTTTAAGATGCTTGTTAAAGGAATTAACAGATTTAACAGATGATTAATATAAAACGAGACGATCTTCTGGGTTTTTCACAGATATTTTCAGAAAAACTGATGTTAAGTTTGAAGCCAACGACAAAATGTAGTAAAACTTATATTACACCTCCATATTGGTTAAATCAGTAAAAACTTTTCTACGATTGAGTCATTGATTTAAATCTCACATAACGGCACGTTTACTACATTTTGTCAGTTTATTGTTATTGTTTCTGTAAGAGGCACAAACTGGAGCTAGAAAATGAAGCACACCAGACTTCATTCACATTTTGTCTGATTTTACCTCGGCTGCTTCACACGCTGCAGATGTCACATTGCTTGAGCATAAAATTTGATATTTATGTGGAAGTGCGCGGCGCTAAACTCTCGTCTTTGTGTCCCGACAGTCGCCATGTACCTGGGGATCAAAAAGGGGAAAATAAAGACAGTAAACCCCGCTCCCTCAGATTCACTTGGAGTATGAGGACCACCAGCTCCATGGAGCCTTGCGACATCATGCGGGAGATTCGCAAGGTGCTCGACGCCAACAACTGCGACTACGAGCAGCAAGAGAGCTTCCTGCTTCTTTGCGTCCACGGCGACGGCCGGGCCGAGAACCTGGTCCAGTGGGAGATGGAGGTGTGCAAGCTGCCGCGGCTCTCCCTCAACGGCGTCCGCTTCAAACGGATATCCGGATCATCCATCGCTTTCAAAAACATTGCTTCCAAAGTTGCCAACGAGTTAAAGCTATGAACAAAAGGGTTTAAAAAGTATACATATATATGTAAATATCTATATATATATATGTATACATATATATATATATCTAGAAGTATTTAAGCTGTACAATCATCCAAGTAGCAGTTTCCAAATGTCTCCTTTTTTTAAACAAATACAGAGTATGTATTGAATATTATAATGTATAGATTAAGGCTTTTGGCAATAATCACTGAATTACCTACTAATATCTCTGTGGCCACACGGGGTCGACATTATAATATGATTTGTCATGCTGTGAATGTGGACAAAAAAAGCATTTCTGGTCTTATTTATTTCATTTTATTTTCTCTCCTCCTCCTCCTCCTCCTCTCCTGGACAAAGGAAAAAGATGACGTAGCGTTTCTGTTTTCAGTGTAAATAATGTATCTTTACTTTCGAGACGGCTTCACTGCAATACTCCTTTTTTTTTTTTTTTTTTTGTTCTTTTGTATTCCGTTAAAACGTAGAGATGACGGGAGTCTCCGTGTAAATGCCCACATGGTTAAAGGGTCACTCATGTCTCAATTAAAGTGTCTGTCAAACTCCGACGTCCCGACTGATTATTAATGTTTTAATCCTCTGAGCTCCTTCTGTGTCATGTTTACTCACTCTGGGATCATTTGTCACTGCAGTATAACGTCCTGCACCTCCATGGAAGTTAAAGTTACATAAAAACATGATCAACACTTTTCCACAGGTGTTACTAATACTGGGGGGATAAACGGTGGCTCTACTCACGCTTCATATTTTACTACTTGTAGTTTGAATTTGTGTTCATACCTTTAAACAACCAAATCCAAACATTTTTTTCTGTTTTTGCATGATTATTGCACAGAAATTTGTAGTTTTTAACAGAATCTGCTTCAAGCAAACTGTTTTTGGAAAATCATTAGGACAAATAGAATGAAGTGGTTTCCATAAAAATAAAACAATTTTAAGCTTAGAATTAAATTATTGTAGTTGTAGGACTGGCAGTAAGTTTGTTTTTACAGTTTTTGCTCTGATGTTACTGGGTTGTTTATTTCTTTCTTTAAAGCCTTTTAAACTTGGCAGCAAGTTCTTGGAGTTCTGAGAATTAAAGGCAGTTTTTAAACTTTATTTTGAAAAAGGATTAAATATTCCTGTTGTCACTCTTTAATAGAAGAAATAATTGATACTAAAACTAAAAAGACTTAATGAATACAAGCTTCTGCGTTATTAAAATACTATGTTAGAACTCTGAACACAAACTGAGCTGCTGCGTTAGTTTTAGCTGCTGAAATAAGTTTGTTTTCAGAAATTTGAATCACCAAACTTAACATGAAGCCATGAAGTTTAGACCTTGAAGTTCTTCAGAGCTCATTTTCTTCTGGTTGCAGTAATTTTTGGATTTAATTTAAATGGAGGTGAATAAAAAGCATCCTAAGCAGTTTATCAGATTTAGAAGTTTGTCTCCTCCATGCAGCTTCACGCCTCATTGTTTCGAGGCTTCTCCTGCAGAATCAAACACGAGTTCACTCCCTTTAACAAGTTAAAGCAACAGCAGAGATCTCAAGCTGCCAAACACTGAATCCTACATTTCCCAGCGGGCACCTCAGTAGCATCTCTGGTTTTGGCGTGATGAGGTGTTCAGGGTCATTTACTCAGGGTAAACTGTGCTGCGTTCAGGGACCAGCTGGATGAACATCTGGTTTAAGCTGAAGCTGCAGAAGCTCTTTGATCCAAGAATCCAGCGGTGGACGTTGTCATCAAACAGCTGAGAACCTTCATGTTTAGTCAGAACGTCAGACAAATTCAACTTGAACCAAAACGTTTTATTTCATGTCAGATCTCCACCTTACAGGAACAGTTTCACCTTAAATACAGATCCAGACTGTGGTACAGAGCATTCAGGACAGTCAGTCATTCAGGGGAGGAGGGGAGGGGAGGAGGTTTACTTCTGGGCAGGGATCAGGTCGTCGATGGACTGACCCTTCTCCAGCTTCTTCTCCATGTCCACCAGCAGCTTGACGCCGTCCACCACCATCTGCACCAGCTCCACCTCAGAGAAGCCCAGTCTGTCGGCGTTGGAGATGTCAAAGACTCCGCCCACTGCTGCCGTGTCCACGCCGCCTGGCAGGAAACAGGAAGAACAGTTATTACAGATTATCCTGATCCTTTGACGTCTGCAGTCACACAAACATCCTGAAGGAGGAGAACGATCTGAGGCAGCGAGACAAGGATGCAAACGTTCACTAATTTCCATCAGTGATTCTACATCGACTGTAGCTGAGTGGCAGCGTGCTCGGTCGTCTGCCCTTCACCACGAGTCAGCACGAGTCAGCTCCAGTCCTCGTGTGCAGGACATGGATGTTTCAGATTGGACACCAAATATTCACAGGCTCAGATCAGACTGGGGCTGAAGCTAAACTTGATCAGGATCTCCAGCCAGCTCATCTTTTAAATGAGGATCAAACTGGTCCAGAACACAGAACTAAATCTGCCTGACAACAGCAGCAGGTGAAGGTTCTGCTCACCGGTTCCACGTTTCTGCAGCCTCAGCCTCTTGAGAATCTCCTCAAACTTGGCGTGTTTGCTCATGTTGGGCAGCTTGACGTGGACGCCGGCGCGCAGGCCGGTGCCCAGGTTGGACGGGCAGGTGAGCACGTAGCCCAGGTGCTCATTCCACATGAAGGCGTGTCCTCGGTCCTTGAACAGGGTCTCGATCTGAACAGCAGGATGGGGAATGGATGTTAGTGGAGCTCTGGTTAACAGACACTCGGCTGCAGGTCTCATGTGTCATTTCCAACCGACCTTGGTGAGTCCGGTGCAGAAGCGGTTGAACACTTCCTTCATGTTTCCTCCCTTCTGCATGGAGATGACGCGCAGGTGGTCCTCCTCGTTCACCCACACCAGGAATGTCTTGTTGTCGTTGTGCCTGCAGACAGAACATCAGTCGATTGTGTTATTATGAAGCCGGACAGCAGCCTGTTGACACCAGACGGATCAGAGCTGGGCCTCACCAGATGCCCCTGGCGTCGGGCCAGTCCCGGGCCATCCCCGAGGCCAGCAGCAGAGGAGACACCGGCTTGTCGAACAGGAAGTGGTCATCAATGAGCTGCTGCTGCTCGGCGTCCGTCATGTTCTTCAGAGCGTAATATTTCCCCTTCAGGTCTCCAGACAGAGAGTCCAGAGCTGCAGGACGGGTTCAGAGGTCAAACCAGCAGAACACAAAACACCAGAAAACTGTTTGATAGAGTATAAAGTGTTTCTACAGATTCTAACTTTTGCTTTTAGTTTTTGATCTAATATCAGACCAGCTTTAAAAGATTCCTGCACACATCAGCACAAATGGATTTTCAGAAAACTCTACATAAACAGTTGAATAGTGCAACAGTCAGTGTTGTTTTTAAACTGATTTAAATACAGTAAAAAAGTTTAATTTTATAGTGACACAGTGAAGAACCAACGACTAATTCTGTTCTAATAGAGATGACTGAGGAAGACATTATGTACCGTTTTGGTTCAGGTTATTTGATGGTTTTTGGGGGTTTTTTTACAGTCAGGAACTGGTGAAGTTATTTCAGCTGAACTCTGATCTACAGAGCTTCACAGTAAAGTGATCTCAGCTGGATCCTGCTGTCATGATGTAAGTCCAGCTGCTGCCACTAGGGGGCGTCCTCCACTCAGAGACCACGCTGAGCATCACTGTTACATAATGGTGTGTTGTACCTTCGATGGAGAGCTTCTCCACAGCTCGTCTCTCTCCTCGGCTGCAGTGAGGCGGCAGACAGAACCCGCGGATGCTGCGACCCGTCCGCACCCTGGAGCTCAGGACGTAGTTTGGGTCGAGGTCGTCTCCACCCTGAGACAGAACACTGGTGTTAGTCTGGTTCTGCTGTTAGTCAGCTGGTGGTGAACTGAGGCAGAGCTGTGGTACCTTCAGGTTGGCCGAGTTCAGGTCGGTCTTGTGCTTGTCTGAGGGTTTGTATCCTCCGTGCCGGTCCTGGATCACAGGGTCCAGCAGCTCCTTGAACACCTCGTAGGTCTCTTCGTCTCCAGCGACGCAGCCGACGGTCATGATGAAGGGATGACCTGCACAGAGGCAACAGGGTCAGAGGACACGGCAGCATCCTCAGCACTCTGGAGATAAACACAATGTCTGCAAGCAAGTCAGAGAAGATGTGAAGAAACTGAAAGTGATGAAAATATCAGCAAATATCTGTCAAATGAAGTTTGAGCAGATTTACATACAGTAAACAGTGTAGGTTTACAGTTACACAGTGAGTGAATGACTAGTGGTGAAAACACTGATTACTGAGGTTCACATGTTTGGCCTGTTTTGTTTACAGCCAACATGTAAATTCACTTTATTCTCTGATTTTACTGGAAATTATCTGCAATTTAACAAAACAGTGTAAATATGGAGAGTAACAGTTGTGTTGTCATACCATTTTATAATCCTTAACAGAACTGTTTATCTTTTTCTGATATTTTTTTTGCAGTTTTACAGTCCAAACAATGGCCATTATGCAAATAATGGCCTGTTTCTTTACAGTTAATATTTTAATACTTTGTGATTTTACAAGATATTATTTGTAATTTAACAAAACTGGGGTATATTTTAAAATACCAGTGACTGGTTTAAAACCAGTCTAAGAGCCTGGTTCTGTTCAGTGTGAGCCGTGTGCTGCTGTACCAGGATTATCAACCCCTGTCTGGATGACAGCGTCCAGGGTGAAGCCGCTGGCTGTGGCTCTGCCCCTCAGCTCCTTGTACATGTCCAGGGTTAACACCTTGGCCATGTGGCTGTTGTGCTGACTGAGATCTGGGAACTCATCCTCAGCCGACAGCCCCAGCTTGAGCTGCTTCAGATTCTCAGAGCTGAACACAAACACATCTGACCTGAACACTTGATGCTTCACTCAGCTGCAGTAACTCACAGATCAGCTGCTGCATTATGTAACTCTAATCTTTACCACTGGCTGTAAAGCTCCGAGTGGTTCTGATAGTGGAGCTCTGACCGAGTCCCCCCCAACCTCCGTTCATCCCTCAGCAGGTCACAGTGCAAAACACCAGAACCGGGCCGGTTACCTGGGTTGTCCACCCCGGTCTGGATCACGTCGTCCAGGGTGAACCCGCTGGGCGTCTGTTTGCTGCGGAGCCGCTCGTACATGGTGGGAGTCAGAACCTTGGCCATGTGGTTGTTGTGTTTGCTCAGGTCCGGAAACTCCTGGTCGGAGGCGAACTTCAGCTTCACCTGGTTGTGCGTGTTACCGAACGGCATGTTTGCTGCCTGCAGCCGGAGGAGGGAGCAGGGAGGCGGCGAGCGGCGGCCGGACGCACCGGGGGGAGCGTGCAGAGAACCGGGAAGAATTCAGCAGAGAACCGAGTGAACAAAGAGTCCATCAAACATCTTCTAGTCAAACTAGTCTGATGTTAACATGGGATCAGTGTGGATGAGTTGAAGCGCCTCCTGTGTGACCGCCCGCTGACCTACCTGCTGTTGTCGGACTTGAGGACTACTACTACTACCGGGTGTCGACACGAAGATCCCTATGGTTCCAGCCGAGGAGCTTCCAGCCTCCGCAGCGTCCAGCAGCTCTCCGCTGCCTCCCCGCAGCTCGCAGCTTTTATAGGCGCCCGTCGGCTCCCATTGGCCGCTATTTGTATCCATTCATTCCATTGGACGCTGCTGCAGCCTCATCTCACTACCAAACAACCATCTGCACAGTTTGCTGATAAATTACAATTATTTAATCATATCTAAACATTTTGAGCCTTATAAAGATTGCTCTCCAATGCACAGATTGCAGTGATGTGAATTAAATCAAATTTTACGTGAAAAGGTGAAAACAGGTTCCATCTCCACACTGAGCACCAAATCAGACCTGTGTGTGTTTTCAGTCATCAGGGATCAAATTAAATGAGAAAAGTTGATGGTACAGGAGAATAAAAGGCACCACAGGATGCCTGAGAGCCTTCCTGAATTATATTACATTATATTTCATCATGTTGTGAGACAAAATATCATGTGTGGTATCATGTTATGTCACCTGCTGCCTGGATGAAAGGCATTTGCAATATAAAATAATAAAAAGGAGCAAATTGGTGCATGCAAATTCCACCAGAATGCAGGAAATTAAGTGTTTGACATGCAAAGTCTGCAGCCACACTATGAAACATCCTGCAAATATGAACAGAAGAGGCCTTTAAGTGAGCCCAAGCACATCTGTGAATTATCCACAACTAATGAAACTACATGTGATGCACACGTTCTTCTGATATTAATAACCTGCAGTGTTCAGGAGCAAGTAAGTTGGTATCCATGTTTCCTGTTCAATGCCGCATTTCAAAAGACAGATCTTGTAATATAACATAATATTGTGTCGTATGTTTTGGACAGTCTCCCTGTCATCAGTTAAAGTTGGCACCAGTTGGCTGATATTTACACGTAGAAGCACAATCTGACATTTCATCAGATTACTGGCCTGAAGCAGCTGTCTGGGTCTCCATGTCAGACGCTTCTTTTCATGCATTCTGGGGGATTTTTATGCACCACTTTGAGCCTTCTATGCATCAATTTATGGTGCAAATGTAAAAGAAAACATCAAACTCAGGCACCAGGTCACTATTTAAGACATAATGGAATATATGGATTTAATCTACGCCCATGTCATCATCATTATACAACCTTTATGGGAAGTATTTCTACAAGTATTGCTTCTCTCCTCTCTATGAGAAAAAATACAAATGAAGGATTTTAGAATTAAGAAAATAATCTTAACAATATTATTTTGCCCTTTCGACTATCAAATTACCAGGCTAGTTTAAATATGAATCTTTGGATTTCTTGGGTTTTTAATTCATAATTATGGAGGGTCTTATTATCTAAATTAGCCAGGTTATTTGCTAGAGCACATCATATTGCAGGTTCTTAACCTTTACATTGAAGTTTTTCAGGTTATTTCAGAGCACATGTGAGAGAGTAAGGTCTGAGTACTTCAGTTCATTAATATGACTGACTTGACATTTAAACCACTGAAGTAAATGTGTGTTTTAGATGATAATTAAGGCTAAATTCTAGTCTTTCTCTGCAGATTCTCAGTCATCCAGGTCATGCTGCTTCATTCTGAAGCTCTGAGGACTAAATCAAAGCTTATTCCTCAGATGGAAACACTTTGGCTCCACTGCTGTTCTTCCAAATGTTCTGTACATTTGTCTGAACATTTGCGGTGTCTGGTGTGAACTCAGCACACCCATAAACCTCCTGCTCAGCTTCTCTCACTCGGTTTTTTATCCTCAGAGGCTGTTTCATGATCTGTGAACCGGCTCATCATCTTCATCATCTTCATCATCCGGTTTCTTCGACTCCACTTCCCCCGAAAACAACACCACGTGTCCGGGCAGTGAGTGGTAGCTGTCACCGCTCACCACACGCACACACAGCCGCTGTAGGAGCGCAGTTCATCGGATAAGGACGCCGGTTTTTGCTCGTTTTATTCCGCATCAGTCCCAGTAACGGTAGGTGGAGAGTCTCCAACGGTCCTGTCCCTCATGAGGCGCGGTGAGCTGGAACTGTAACGGTAGCTAGCGCTGCTAACGCTAGCATGCTAGTTAGCCTGCTAGCAAACCGAACCGGCGTTCAACCACTAAACTTAGCTAGTAGCTGGTTAACCCAGATTTTCAGACATTTTGCACTGTGACCTGCATCGGTGTTTGGCTTTAGAGGTTGTATTCATTTTTAAACTGCTTTAAAATGAGACTCGTTAACGTTAGCTAGCTAACCAGCTAACGTTAGCGTCAGTTACAACAAACTTGTGCAGCTGTGCTCTTCCCCTGAGCTTACCGTAATTAGACATTAAATCAACTCCAACTGGTTAGTTAACTTCTGACTTGAGCTCTTACCGGTTATTCTACCCAGTTAACAGAAGTAACTATTAAATAAACAACATATTGATTTTATTCGCATAACATGAGAAACATAAAGATGAAATCGTTTCACTCACACTTTCTCCATGTTGTCCGACATCTTTCAGTCTTTTCTTGTTTTCTTCGTAAAGCAGAAAGTGGATCTCTAGTGTCCGTCTCCAGTTAAATGTGAATAAAACCACCGTTTGTCTTCAGTTTGTACAATTTTAAAATTAACGGTCAGATATTTAAATCATGGAACGTTGGGGTCAGCCTGGTTACCATGGCAACGGGGCCGACCGCCAGCATCCAGCAACAGAAATGACATGAAATATGATTTACTTATTTATTCTAACAAGTGAGAAATAAAAATCAGATATGAGGGGGAAAAAAGAGAAGCTGATATAAAAGTTTATACTCATGCAGTCACCTGGAGGCTGAGCTGAAATATGAATCATAGATATACAAAGAAATGTCAATAGAGCTGCGAAATAAGGGGAAAATATCTGATCAAGCTTTAGTTCACTGTTTAATAGACTTATAGTGTGATGAAGCACTATCACATGAGACATGAAAAACTACTGTCACAGAAGGAGGATAGTAGTCATTTGCAAAGTCATTGACACAAGAGTTCAAACTGTCAGACTGCACTTTAATTTTTTAATTAAAAAGAAAGTATTTAGCTGTTTTCTACTTTAGAAAATGTACTGGTATTTTACAGATGTCTACAGTTTTGCTAGACAGATAGTAGCTAGTGAAATCACAGAGAAAAAGTAAAAATTTTCATGTTGCAAACAAAAAAAAACAAACTGTAAATAATGTCCACATTAAAAAATCTGTATATTTACAGGTAGTAATTTTCTCTTTTACAATACTTGACCGTTAAATTCCTGTTTTACTGTATTTAAATCAGCAAAAAAATATATATTTTACAGATTTTTAATTTTTTTTAAGGCAATTGAAAAAGAAATGTATATTAATGATTGTAAAAACGGAAATAATTTTCAATCATGGGTTTTTCAGATTTTTCCTGTGTTGGTAAGTTGCAAATAAAAACCATAGAAATTACAGGAAATAAAAGTATCAATTTAAATGTTAACAGCAGAAAAAAAGGCCCAAACTGTCCTGAACTTTCAACTCAAAAATCAGCATTTTTATAATTTTTTTCTTTTACAACATTAAACTGCAAAATTCCACTTTTTTTTTTTTTACTGTATTCAAATCAACAGAAATTACTGATATTTTACAAATATGTGCCATTAGTTTTTTAAAAGTATAATAGTGATAGAAAAATTGTAAATACTGTTTTTATTGGTTATTATAACATTTGTCAGTTTTGTTATATTTACAGATTATATCTACCAAAATCACAAAATGGTGTTAATTTACAAGTTGAATATAAAAAAATATATGTAACAGGCCAAAACTTCAACATCAAAAATGTGTATTTCAGTGATTTGTTCTTTTACAATGTGTCACTGTAGAATGGTGCTGATTTACTGGATTTAAATCCCCTAAAACTATCATTATTTTACAGATGTTTGCCTTTATTTTCACTCTTTTTACAGTTATTTAACGTCACAGTATCATTGTATCGCCCAGGCCTGTTTAAGTACTATATGAGGTGGAGTTAATGTCTGTGGATTCTAGACCAACTCTTTATTTTCCTTGTAAGCCGACCTGACTCCTGTTTCTTTCCCCTGTTTTAGAGCTCGCCATGAGTTTCGTGGAGTACTCGGACTGCATCCAGGACGGAGACGTCGCCATCGTCTACCTGAACCACAACTCCGTGATGCCCGTCAAGGTGCAGCATGGCGCCCAAACGCAGACCCGCTACGGGGTGATCCGCCACTCCTCGGACCTGATCGGCCAGCGCTACGGCTCCAAGGTGACCTGCAGCAAGGGCGGCTGGGTCTACGTCCTCCACCCAACGCCGGAGCTGTGGACCGTCGCCCTGCCGCACCGAACCCAGATCCTCTACACCACCGACATCGCCACCATCACCATGATGCTGGAGCTGAAGCCCGGCTCCGTCGTCTGCGAGTCCGGTGAGCGTTTCCTTATTTTTAAGTGAGGAAAAGTTTTTGGAAAGCAGGGATGATCCACAAATGCAGATTAAACCTCGGTGGAAATAGCCTCAAATAATGAAACTAGTCCAGAGCTTCTTTGGGTTATTGTTCTTAATGGATTTAATTTGTTAAACTACGATTTTTGATGCTCTATTTGAATGAAGGGTTTAGCGGGCTGCAGCTAGTCAGCCATGAAATAACCCACAGTAAGTAATCAGGGCACACACAGTCACGCACAGGCCAGAACGCTGCTGAGATCAGCCAGCCAGCTCCTCAGACATCCCTGTAATTCAATCATTGTGCACATTAGGATCCGTGCATATGTCGCATTCTGTCCAGTCCGCTGCAGGTTTGTGCACATCTGCATTTGTGCAGAGAAGCAGCACGAGAACTATGAAAGCGAAGCATTTTACTGCGTGTGTCACAGTGAGTTACTGCTGCAGGTGAAAGGCAGTTTGATGTGGATTTGGTGAAGCATTTAAAGGTGATTTCAGTGTTGCAGCCAAACATTGTGGGGGTTTATCTGTTCATCTGCAGTACAACTTCAACCACGGTGTCGTTTCCATTCATTGTCTATGTGAGCAAGGGTGCAATGCGTTCTGGTGGCACCTTGGTGTGGTTCAAGACATGAAGCATCACTTTGGCTGGTGTTGTTTTTCATAAAGTTTGGATCTTTATGAACTTCAGAGTCACTGCCAGTGTTGTAATCTGATAAATGGCACAAGAGTTTCGTTTAGGATTAATAAAGTTCTATCTTATCTCACCAACAACATTTAAAGCTAAGCCTTGTCAACCAAAAATAAAGACAGATTCAGCAACTGTCGGCTTATTTCTCATCTAAAGTGTTACCAGAAAAGCATTTTGGTGAAATATTTTAACAGAAATTTTCCAAACCAGCCGCCATGTTGGTTTGAAATCTGGGAGCAAGCAGCCTTTGAGTGTAGAGTTCATCCAGTAGTCATCTGTTGGGAAGGCTAATTCATGCTTCATACATGAACCCAAATTCACAAGGGTTGGTGCAGACTGTCTGCACGATGATCTCACCAACTTTGAGGGGCTTTTATTTGTATATGCTTTCCATCGACGGAGGCCAGATGCAGTGAGAAGTTCTAGTGCATACAAATGTATGTTAGTCCATTTTCATCCTCTTTTTAGCTCCATTTTTGGTCTCCACCACCTCCTGAGAAACATGTTTGTCTTTTTAAAGCCAGTTCATTCTTTCTATATCTGCAAAGGGACGTACATTTTGTCCGTGAGGGTCGTCATGCAGCCTGAAATGTGTGATCATTTTAAATGTCCACGCTGTCAGCACAGTCACTTTGCACGCAAACGGAAAACAAATGGTGCTTAAAACAAATGTTTGTTTGTAGGAAAGACTGTCGGAGGAGATTCTCCATCATCTACATCTTATGTTTCATCATTAAACGAGCTTAAGTAGCTGGACTTTAAGATGCTTTTACTTGAACATGCTTTCCATCCACAGAGCCCAGACATAGTGGGAAGATGTATAATCTCCAGAAGTCCCATGTGATGTCTACCCACATAGTTAAGTTAAAAAGTGCAGTCAAATGTGTAAGTAGCTGCGATAGACTGTAAAAATTGCGCCGGACGTTTTTGTGTTCGACATGATGAGCAATGTGACCATTCGCTCAAACCAGCATGGCCTTATTGCAGCATGAATGACAAGGAAAGCCCGAATTTGTCCTGTAAAATCTGCACAAGTCCCGTGCTGCATCCACCCACTGTATATTCGACACTCCTCAGGAATAATTTCTCCAACGGTGGGAATCTGTGCGACCCCTGATATCCAGCAGCGCCACTGTGGACACGTAGCATTAGCGACAGGTTGAGGAGTTCACTCGTCCCACTGGATGTTTTCCAGGCACAGTAGGAGATCTCGGGGTAGATCCCCAAACATGCCGGAGAGATTATGCAGCTCATGTGTCCTGGGAACGCTTCAGGATCTCCCAGGAGGAGCTGGAAAACCGAGCAACATCTGGACCGACTTGCTGACTGCCTGCTGCCTCGGCGACCTGAGTTTGGATGAGCAGCAGAAAATACATGGATGGAGGGATGAGAAAGAGAGCATCAACTATGCAGGGATTTCAAACAGACTTTATTTTTAAGCTGTGATGGAAGAGTAGCTTCAGACTGCTTGTTCAGATGCAGTATGAAGTGGCATTGTGGCTCATCGCAGTGCTCAGAGTCCATCTCACGATCACTACAAGAAGGAAAGACGAAGACTAGACTCCAGGTTGTGGATGTATGATGAGTCATTATGCTGCCTTTCTGTCTGCAGACATAAATGAAGTGGATGGAGGACTGACTGAGGTGAAGCTGGTCAGTGCACCGCTGCCTGTTGAGAGAAATTTGACCTTCAGCTCATAGAAATCCTGCCATGTTACGCTGTTAGCAGAGAAATATAATCTCTCTGAGTTGAGCTTCCTTCTGGACACTGTTGATTAGATTACCCAACAGGAGCCTTTAACCCTCTGAACTCCGAGCAGTTTCTGGGTGTTTATTTAGTCCACATATTTTTCCTCACTGTGGGCTCATTTGTAATATGAAGTCCTGCATCTCTGTGGAAACAGATCATTGAAATGAAAGAACTTTACAAAAATCCCAACATTGGCAGTATTAATGGTGCACAAATGGTGGCTCTAAATAATATGGATATTTTACTGTGTACGTTTTTAAAACTTCTGCAAACTGTGAGTTTTATTTCATTCCTCTGCACATCAGTCCTAGAAAGATGCTTCACCAGGCTGTCTTCCAAAAACTTTATTTCTCTCTCAGTCTCTCTAACTGGTTTCGATACTCGTCTCCTCTCTGCTCTGTGTAAACACTGCCTGCAGTTCAACCCGGAAGTTTGTCAAATTTTGTTGAACGAGATCAACTTAACTTAGTCTGTGATTGCAAGATAAAAATTCAAACTTTAGGTCAACATGACGGGTTGGGGATTTCACCAACTTAATTTTGTATTATCTAAGATGAAATATCACCATTAATTGATTGAAAACAACATTAAAGTTGTGCTAAATTAACTAAATTTGCTTGATAACTTGTTTTTTTTCTCCACCATGAGTTCAGGATTTCACGCTCTGAAAGACTTTAATGGTTTACGCTGCCAATTGTTAAGTAATAGGTCATTTAAAATATCGTTGACTGTAGAAAAAAGACTATTTCCCCAACTTAGACATGACTTTGTTGCTCAAAAAGACTGATGCAAACAGTTCTCTTGAGAGATCGGATGAAAAGGCCCCAGTTGAAGTGTAGATTTGGTTCATTTTCCAGATGAAACCACTTGACACTTATGGTAAGTTCAGGAGTCATTGGAAAGTTGAAAACCCAGTGATTTCTTTTCTGTTTGTACAGATTCTTTCACCAATACAAGGTGCAATTCTCAGGATTTTTAGATTAAATAACACGGCTTCAACACCTGCCAGTGGGCTTTGGAGGGTTATGAAGATGTTGAACTCTGAGAAGCTCTTGAACAGAAAACGTTTTCTGTTTGAGTTGAGCTTGACGCTGTTTATTAGATCATTTGAAGGTCTCTCTGGGGATGTGGCGTTCAGCTCTGTTGCAGCCTCCACGTAAAGCCTCCTACTTCTAACCTCCATGTTTACACCTTTGAGTCTGCGCCAGATGTTTTCACCCAGTGAACCCCAGCTGTTGACATCGAGCACCACGGGACTGTTGCAGATGTGACATCCAGACGTTATGTAATCTCTATTTTTTTGTCCACTTTTTCGCCGCTCCCCCTGCGTCTCCTCCGATCTTTCCTTCAGCTCCATTTGTCTGATTGCAATCGCCCGGAGTGTGTCGGGGTGTTTTGGACCGAGCTGGGGGATGGGCCAGGACGTCTGGTGCAGCGCTACATCATGTTTTACTGCTGCCAGCCCTGCGCATGTCATCGATCGCACTAAGTGTGTGTGCGCGAGCTGAGATTGGAGGGTCTCCAGGGTGATGAATGATTTCAGTCCTGTTTAGTCAGCAGTATGGAGATGGATGCACCGTGTGCACCGGCATCACATTACTGGATGCAAACACGCCTTAGCGTAAACCCAGAGAAACAAGGGTCCAAACAGCAGATGAATGGGCCGGTTTATTAAATGACTAAATGAACGCAGCGTTTTATTAGCTGCACGGAGCAACACTTGAGTTTCATTACGCGTCCGCGAGGTGCTAATCAGCATTTCTAGCGGTGACTCACGGCGTTCAATAAGCAGTGTGTGCTGGAAACCTTTTGTCAGCAAACCGTGTAAACATGCAGAGATTAGAGGTGATAACGTGGCCGGGCTTCGTCACGTCGAGCCTGTCGAAGGAGTCACCTTGGAGGCAGGTGGCTCCGGAATACCTGAGAGTTAATCATTCACTGCGGCTTTTATGTTTTTTCACACCTGTGTCAGAAAAATGAAAACTTGGAGGAACAACTCGAGCTGCACCGACGTGTAGATGATTCAGGTTCTGGTTGAACCTCCTAAATGAATCAGTTTTATGACAGTATCAAAGAGATCAAAGCTACAGCCCTGACGCTATTTGAAAATGGCGTTTATATTTAGCAGGGTGATGCACATTTCAAGCCTGCAGTGTTTTCAGATCCGAACTAAAACAAGTTAGTAGCACACGGGACGGACAGGTGGTTCAGGAGCAGCTTTAAACCTGCTCTTTGTTTGTCTGCTTGCTCGCTTCAGACGGACTCAGCACTCAAACTAAAATCAATAAAACCACACCCTGAAGAGGAAATGCTCTCAGTAGCTTTACCACCAACCGATTCAGGAGAGGTTCCTTTTGTAATGGGAAGGTAACCGAACATCGATCTGACCCAACGACAAGTTTGAGTTAAATAACAACTGCAATGCAAATGTTTGAACTGAACAGATCCTAGCAGCTAGTCAGTTGTTTTCCCACAAACTATATATTCATGCATCAATGAATCTGAAGCAAACTTTTGAAATGTCACAAAAAAAGAAGATTAA